CACCGAGAGTTCGACGAAAACAACTCATTTTTATAGCATAATTAGAGCATGACGAGCTGCGTCTAATAGCGCTTGAACGAACCTTCTAACTCCTAAAGTTCTCGAGATAATTGGAAAATAGTATGTCAAAAACGTCACACCGTTACGCTTGGACAAGCCGTGTAACCCTACATAGTGGAGAGTCCAGCCTAGTCTAAATGAGAATGTATAAAAATGAAGGTGAGATTCGAACATGCATACAATGTATAATTTACCTATTGTTTAGGTCACTGAGCTATATGATTAATAGATCTACTTCTGCGTGTTCATGATCATTCTAAGATGCTATTGAATACAGTTTTAATCTCTGTTTTCTTCATGTTCTCATATGAATAAAAACCATCTTTTGCAGAATAGAAGGTCGTTTAGGCAACATTAAACAAAATAAATTTTACAAAATTTTATAGTTTTTTTTAGAAATATCTTTTCATTGTTATCAACTAGGACTAATTAGTTATATCCAAACAATAAATTTTAAATGGAAAAATAAAAGACAACTGATTTTATAAATACGCTAGATTTTTTCACATGATGATTTAATAATTTTATTTCCATCATCTCAATTGAGATCAATTATGAGAGGAACACTATGCTCATGAAGAGGAACACTTTCATTGTGTGAATGATTCTATCTATACGTCCATATACGATGTACAATTTAGACGGTGGAACACACTTTTTTTATCGAGAGGAGCACCAGCTTAAATGTTTAGCGTATTTACGATGGAGCACCTGCTTAATGAATGCCATCGATCTTTCGTTTCATTGAATTTTTTTTTGAAAATTTTTATCATTTTTTTTTTCTATAAAAAAAACAAATAATCTTCACAAAACTGTTCTTAATGTTGCATTTAACAAAGGATTTCTTTTAAGTTTTGTTGTTGGTGTCGCTATGATTTGTCTTGCAGCTTGAATTTTACTATTTGGTGGCCTTTTAAAAGAAAATGGCATCAATTCACATTCGGACAATGAACTATTTGATGATGATGAGGAGGAGGAGGAGGAGGAGGAAGATGATGACAATGATGATTGTTTTGATGGAAGCACTGGTAAAGCTGATTTAGATCGTCTTCGAGTGAATAATAAAGCATTATTATGTTTTTCAATCATAAGTGTTGTTGATTCATTATATATATGAATATTTGGTTGAGTTACGAATTTAACTTGTGGACGGTAAGAATTAAATGTTGAAAATTTTCTTTTTTGTTCAAGATATATTTCAGCAGCTTTTAATCGATTATTTTCTGTTGTTGAATTTTTAATCGAATTTTTATTTTCATATTTATAATTATGTTCATGTTGACCATTTTCCTTTATCATTAAATCTTTAACATAATCTAAGGCATCTAATTTATTTAAAATTTGTTTAAGATTAATTTCTAAATCTCCAATTAATGTTATATCATATGGTCTTGGTGATAAAAAAGTTCCAACTAATTTACGCTTAATTAATAGACGAACTGTTGAACGTGTTGTTGAATCAATAATATCAGAAAATGGATAAACAGCTAATGATGTACCCATAACAATACAACAATCAGATAAAGGTAAATCTTGTTGATAAAGTTGAAATCTTCGTGGAAGATCTTCACCAAAAAAAACAATATCTGGTTTAATTATTCCATTACATCGAGATGTTTTATAACATATTGGAATTTTATCATTAAATATATCTTGACGAATATCTTCCGATTGATATTTTTGATGACATCGTTGACATGTTGCACTTTGAAATGTTCCATGTGCTTCAACTATTTTATCTGATGGAATACCAGACACTAAAATTTAAATTTAAATTTAAATAAAAATATTTATTTTATATTATTGTTTATTTAGATAAAATTACTTCTTTCAAGTCCATCAATATTTTGTGTATAAACACGATGAAGAATATTTTTATCATATAAATAACGAATAGAATAATGATTTATATTTGGAAGAGTTTGTACAGGTTAGAGTTCTTTTGC